TGTTGATTTTTTGGTGTTAACCTATAAAGAAAGGGAGCTATTGCCTTTAATTGACTAGCTCTGTTCTTCCACATTTCTCTCTTAATCATCAAATTCCATGTATTCTTGACATGATATTAGACACAAGTATTTCGGAGGAAGTGTTGCCATGGAAAAGCATTGGACACAGCTCCCTTGCCACAGTGCCTGTGTGTCTGCATATGGCTGACGAATGTCAACGTCGCCACATTCAAACTGTTCACATGGCATGTGTTTACACATATCATCTGTTTAGGGCACATTTAATGGAATGAGTGCTCAAAATTCTGCTATTTAAAAATCACTCATTTTATGAAGCATTTTTCCACTTGTCAGTATGTGCTTCAACTTGGTAAAATGGTTTTAATTATAAAAGTGACTTATAATCGTTATCCCAAAAATAAAATGGAGAAAAATTAAATTGCCTAAGTTGACACCAAATCCAGGTTAAGTTGTCAGCTCCAGTTCTGTGTGTGCTAACAAGAGTGGCCTAGAGCTTGGGTACATTCCTGCAGGGACTGGAACGGGTTGTGAGATTTGAATGTTGACCAATTAAGATATATTTTCTATATCATGTGATAGCCATTTGTTGGGTACAGGAAAAACTTGTTTTATCATTCTTTTTCATATTTAGTGGGTACTTTTAGTTATTTTTTTCAAGGATTATAGTTTTTAAAAGGATGACTTTTGGGCCGGCCTGTGGCTCACTCGGTAGAGTGCGGTGCTGATAACACCAAGGCCACGNCAAAAGTAAGCAAATGACAATATTAATGGGGAAAACTTTCGTCGATATTTGAATAAATTAAGATTAGTGTGCTTTCTACCATAGTCTAAGAAAAGATATAAATTCATGAAAAGAAAAGCAATCGCTAAAATGTTGAAGGGGGATCCTCTCGTTTGTTTTGTTTGGTTTGGTTAGATAAGTTGAATATATAAAATCAATTAACAGTTTTCTCAGTAGCATAGTTTGTCTCATATTTCACATACTGGTTTTCTTGAATTCTGACAATAACTTAATTTGGAGCATTTTGATTATTTTCTAGAATTTATACTGATCCATGTTTATAAGAAATTGTCTTCCATTGTGCCAAAGAAAAGTTGAAGATAAGTAAAAGATTCAACCAGTTAGCTATGTGATGGTGTGCCCAGCTCTCTCATCACTAAATTAAGTGGGGATCTACATGATCTCCCCAACCAAGTGTCACCAATGCAGATCTGTCCCAAACCCTTCATGGTCACACACGTCTCTGCCTCTCCATGTAGTAAGGGACAACAGCTTATTCTCCTCCTCCTTCCTGTTTACGTGAAGAAACCTACCATCAAGACTGTTCAGAAGCAGCATCCTTTCTAAATTGCTGTATGTGATTATAAGCAAATACTACGTGTCTTTGTTTATAGACCAAGAATACCAAGAACATAATTGCAGAATACTTAGAATTAATGTTTGTCTTTACCAAAATATGATTTCACAAAGGTATTTCTTTTGATTTGATAAGTCATGCTCTCTTTAATGTAGTTTTTTCTTTTTCCATGAATTACTTTGTACACTTACTAGATAACTATAAATTCTGAAGTTCAAAACGGTACCTGATATACTTGGGAATTTAGCCCTGCCATTCGCCTTCTGGATGACTGCT